TATGCCGGAAATAATGCCAGACAAAATGTCAGAAGATATGCCAGAAAGAATGCCGAAACAATGTTTCAATACATCCCGGAAAACTTGTCAGATTGAACGGCAGGGGTCAGTCGAAGTATATTATATAAGTCAATATAAGTAATTAGTTTTTTGTGTTTTTTGTGCCGGGACTCCCGCTGATTCACGAATGCTACAGTATCCAGGGCCCAAAACACTCAGAAGGTGTACATAACTTTATTATTGTGACACAGGGCCCTTTTCTGGGCTTTGTTCTTCTTTGTCCATCTCGGAAATCACAGGATCGCTTGTCTTCGGCCGCGCGCCCTTTCCCTGCAGTGCAGGCGCCCCTGGCGTGCCACCGCAGTGGCCGCACGCGAGCTTTTGCTCCGCCTGGGCGCGCGAGAGGCGGAGCTGGTAGCGGAGGAGATGTGGAGAGCAGTTGGGTGTGAGTGGGTGTGCAAGGAGGTGCAAAAAACCCTCAAGAATGGGCATGGGAAACACAAGAAGGAACAAGTGCAAAACTTTGAAGCAATTGGTTTTCGATGGTTTTGGCAACTTGAAAGTGACGATGCTCTTGTGCAGCAACGCTGGAGAACTATGGGAGGAACTCCACAACCAGAATCCCAACTGCTCACAATGCGTTGGGTGATGCAGGATCTCTTGCCAAACAATATTGATTGGGTGATCATTGATGAATGTAGGCTCTTGATTGATAACGCGGGGGGTCACAATTGCTCGAGACCCCGCGCAAGGATGGCGCAGGCGCGGTGCTGCAGTGGCGTGGTGGCGCTTGTGGGAAGCAGGAGAGGCTAAAGAGATTGGTTTTCAGAGTTTAAACATAAACACGCTAATTATTCAGATTCATAAACTACGTAAACTAGACTCTAGACTCTAGACCGAGATTGAGGCATTGTCCAGCCGGGCCAGCCCAGGAGCCGATTTATTGAGACAAGCTGCTAGCTTGCTTAAATGACACGGCGAGGTTTACCCCGACTGGAGTTGCAGCGTTTACAGGCGTTTACATGCGTTTCTTCTTGCCTAGCATTCTGCCAGGTTGGCATGTGAGCTTGTCCCCTTTGCTGATGTTGAGGCGGCAGTTCATTCGACCCTTCGAAGATAGGCTGGGCAAAGCATGTCACTTGGGCGGTCATTTCTTAGACCATGTGCCAGTCAGGCATGTCTCTGAAGCTTTTACTGTAGGAGGTTCGAGTTTGTGCAGCTTGACGGTGTGATGGTGCCACATTGCAGCCACTCAGCATTGACATCAGGACCGAACATGACATGCAATTCCGTCATATTCCATACATATATCGACCCATGATGACCAAGGGTCGGGGCGTTTGGATCTCTGAGGGGCGGTCCCTGCATGGAGGAAGTCCTCTACAAATATGGCCTTCCATGGGCTTCCGATCAGCATTTGCTTTGGGTCGTATCATGCTGATCGTTGCAAGTCAGAAGGCTCTAACCTTCATCATGTGGTACTTTGCAATGGGATCAACCACTTCGGGGTGGTCAGCGATGACCATCGCTGATGTTCCAGGTTCATTGGCCCCGGGGGGAGCCAATTGACTTGTGAGACAGACCCACGTGCTGATCCCTTCCTTGCTGCGTGGCACAGCTGCACAGGCTGCGGAAGCTGGTCGACGGCCTTCAAGTGCCTGAGAACTTTCAGGAGCGGGTCGGGGATGTACAGCACATGGGAAGGACACCATGCCGTGTCGAAATCCAAAGTCGACAAGGCAGCAGCAGGAGCAGTGGCAGCAGTAGCACTAGCACAAGCAGCAGCAGTAGCAGTAGCAGTTGAAGTAGTGGTGGTGGTGGTGGTGGTGGTAGCAGCAGTGGTCGTAGCAGCAGCACACCAGCGGACGGTGGTGTGTATTTTTAGCGCATGAGTAGCCGGCTATGTGAGGCCTTGTTTCAGATTTGGGTGAACCTCCCCCACCCAGCAACAGCTAGTTTTGGTTTAAACTGTATAGACAATTGCTGGACCATTTCCATCCACGAAACCACTTTCAAGTCATGGAGATATTCACGAAGGAATCAAAGGGAACCGTTGTTGTCACTATTGGGTTTTGCAGCTCAGAAATGTGACGATGTTTTCTTTTGGTGAGATATCCTTTCTTTCTTTTATTTTTCTCTCTCTTTTTTGGTATCATCACAGCATTTTCGCCTGGGAGAGACACATAGTTCAACCTTTCACAACGATCATTTACTGTATCACAAGCGTCATGATGGCCGTCATTCGTGGTCACCATCATCATCTACCTGGCAAAACTGGGAGGAGCAGGTGTGGTTCAATGAGACCTTCGACGTTTTCTCCTCGCCCGAGGCCGACCGTGCCTTGGACCTCAGATCAGGGACGAGAAGTTGGCGCCAAGTGCCGCTTTCGTCAAAGCTAAAGTCAAAGCCACAGGGCCAGGGGGGTGACGTACATAGACCTCAAAGGGGCCCATACCCTGAACATCTCCCCCTTAGTACTATTACTAGAGGCGTTCACCACAGTACGGGTTGTCTTTCCTCACGCTCCCACAAACATACCAGTCAGCAGATGTACCAGATTTTCAAGTCTGGGGTCATGGAAAGGCATGGATATGACTGCCAGGGATGTCTTTTTTGTTATGCCGGGCTCCGGCAAATTCTCCTTCAGCTCATCACGGACTCAAACCTTTTACCCGCCCCGCATGAGCCGCGTTAGCGTTCGCGCTCAGGCTACTTTGCTGGCGCCCTTTGGCGGGGTGGAGAACCCGTGACCTGGTGGGGGGGGTGAAGGGAGAACCATCGGGAACCGAACGAATTCGTTTCGTTCCTCCGCGCAGGCCGTTGAGAAGTACCTCCCGAAAACCAACTCACAGACCCTGAGAATGGTGATTTGAAAGACCGTGCTCCTGTACAAACCAGTGGTTTTCAGGGTCCATGTGTTTCCAGCGGGGGTGTATTTTGAAACCAGGTCACACAGACGGTTGGGGAAGGAAGAGAAGGAAGAGAGAGTGCCGACGGATGGGGAGAAGCGGACTGTCGCATATTGCCGGCGGAGTTGCGCACCATATTTCGTACGAGGAAGATCAGAGACTGAGAAGCTGATCCCTGATCACGTCAAGTCATTGACTGGAATTCTGTAGTCCCCTTTGACTGAACCACTCATCCTTCAACCAAGGTCTCCGTCTCCCCTGCCTCCAGCCGCTGGCTGCGTTTGCTGGCCGAACAACTTCGCCGCTGTGCGCCCTTCGGCGATGGGGCGGGGCCATGGCCGTCGGGCGTGGGAGGTCGGGCAGTGTGGGCGTCTTCGTTCGGGCAGTGGGAGCCCGAATCGTCCGAGCTTGGTTCACAGAGAAGGCAAACAAGATTCATGTTAGATTCATGTTCACATCTATTTCAGAGATTCTTCAAAGCAGCCGGGTTGTGGAGAGGATATTCCTTGTGTGCACCACAAACTTCCGAACAGCCGTTGGACGTTCAATGACCGACAACCATGGGACAACCCATGGTCTTTGACCTACACAGGGTCACCGAGGCAAGAGTTTGCCTTGGACATCCCAAAGCACGAGAGCCACGAAAGCCTTCAGTTGCCACTTGGCCGGTGGTTTGTCAGTGGCTCCAGCCGCATTGCACCGAGAAAATGATAGGGACGTTGTGGGTTGGAGGCCGGACACGCCGAACAGATACAATCAGAAAACCCTCCATAGATCTCCATGGTGTACAATACAAGGACTTCAATCTGACAAGACTCGACTCAAGGTAAGGTTGATGAAAGAAATGTTGCCCCGACAATGTGCGAGACCCGGGTCATGAATGGGGAACCGTTTTGTAAAGTTTTTAGAGCCTAGACACTATGTCGTATCGCATACTGTTTGGCTGCCACCGGCCTGCGGCGGAAAGCTTCATGTTTTGGTCAATGAATGCCCAAGTTATCATCCAGCAGGGTTGCAGGATAGAAGCAACAGCAACCCCTGCACACAATCCTTTTTAGAGACCCGTGCAACAAGGCCTTGTCTGCACCTACACCGTCCCCTGTACAGGACTTCAATCTGACAAGCACAGGACTTGCTTCTTTGTGACCTCCTTCTTTTGCAAGGCACCTCTTTTGAGACGACCATTTTTCTTCTTTCGCTGAGGCATTGCTCGTTGGCCTGGACCGTCTCCACCGGTTTGCGACTGCCAAAGCATGCGCTGAAGGAGACATTTCTTGGGGGGAACATCTGGAAAAGCCGGAAGCCACACCTGCTGTAACGATTATTGTCAATTTCCACACTTGCACAAAGAAACACCTTTTTGCTCCAAGAGGTTGCCAGCTTAAGGGCCCCAACAACTCTTTGTTTGGGACCTTGATCGCCACGTTGGCAGAAAAACTAGCTAACTAGCCCGCCCTTGCCTTTCAGATGTCTGGTTTTAGATGTCCGGTTGAGGTGGAGTGCAGGATTGCAGGGTGTTGATGGTAGTTCGCAGCATTTGGCGACAACAGTTCGGCTTGCGTCCTGAAATGCTCAAGCCGGGCCCTCCTCGGAACGGCTGAAGATCAATCTTAGTCGACGCCCACCTAGCCGCGGCCCGCGCAACGGACACATGGCGCACATAGGAAATCTCCTGTCTTATGCAGCTTGGCGCAGTGTTTGCTAGCAGGTTCGGCCGACCAAACATCTGCCAAATTCCGGTGCTTACGAACACCATTGTACAAAGGAGGCCGCATTCCGGTGTCTAATATACTTCCGAAGCCAGCCGCGAAGCACGGCGCTCGTGCCGAGTTGAGTGCGAGCACTTCGGTCATCACGACGATCATCGGTGCCATCTATGCGACTTGCGACTGCAGCGCTGGGTCGGTGCGTTTCGTTTCGTTTGAGCCCCCACAGGTCGAGTAGGAGTGGGGAGGTAGGGTGAAAACAACGACCCAAGAAGTCGGTTGATCAGTGCAGCGTAAGACTGATCGCGCCGATGTTGTTTTTGTTTGTTTTTCATCCTGTTTCTGCTTTTCCCCAAAGTTTGAGAAACAAAGGCCCAACTTTGCAGACATTTGTTGGAAGGAGAAGATTCGTTGGTTCGTTTGCTTGCGCGCTCTGTGATCATGGGGGCTGACCACAGGTGGGCTTTGATCCTTTGAAGACGTTCCAGACCTCCGCATTTGACCATGTCACCAGAGACACCCATGCCAACAGGCTCAGACACAGACGACTCCTTTAGTAAACCTGGCAAACACACACAGTCACATAATTATATGTATACCTGACAGTATAAATGACTACGCATGTACATAACATTATAGATCATTAGTCATTATGTAGTCATTATGTATATTTCTGTATCATTATACAGTTAATTTGCTTTGCCTGGAGTCAATTGGGAAACCAATTGTGGAATGTCTTGAAATAGCAACACCCTTCGAGTACCCCTGCACGATCCTGATGGGAAATGTCAAGAGTCAAGATCACAACCCACTGCTTCGACAACTCATCTTGGGATTCCCCAGAATGACGACACACATTCGGGAAAATGCATAGTGATGGATTGTGGTTTGCCACACACCCACCTAAGTGAACAACCTAAGAAACCAAGAGGAAGTGCATGTAAGATCATGTAAGGTGGTCTGACCACGACTCCAAAACCTGCAAGTTCAAATCCTCCAAGTTCAAATAACAAGAACGAGCGAAACCGAGCGGTTTTTGTGCGTGACTGCCGACCTGGTGGAGACCCAAACAGCCTGAAGTTTAGAGGAGAGCGTAGTTACTCAACAACACAAACCAGAGCAAAATGGAGGTACAAGAGTTGGCGTCCCAACTCTCTTCCAACTGATTTCCAAAACATTGTTGGCACGGATAGGACATCAGTCTCCGTGCCCCCGGCTTGAAACAGACAAATTGGTGTCTCAGTCCAAAGGATAAACACACACACACACTCACACACGTACGTCGTTGTCACGATCGTCGTTGTCACGTGGTTCTATTGGCACCGAGCGACTGCGACTGAGCTCTATTGGCACTTCCCCACGTTGTCCTTGAACTGGTCGGATTGCCACTTCGAAGACCCGGACGAGTGTGGGAGCCCAGTGTCGACCGAGCCCGGGCTCGGTCACCGTGAGGCCACCGTAGTGACCGACAGTGACCCAGTGACCGACAGTGACCGACCCAGAGGAGTTGGAAGATGTTGGAAGGCAACTTGTTAGTCTATCGTTTCACCTCCGAATCTGAGAAGCAACCTGGAAAATACAATAACATATAGATCAGCTGACATACACATTTTGCCGTTTGTCTCTTCTTTTCTTCGTTCATTTCAAGGGGGAGACCCTAAGAAGTCGAGACCTAATCGCCCAGGCGTGGTGACAAAGCAACCTCAAAATACTGTTTTGCGCCAACTGACGTGTGTCAGATGCACCTCCATGTGGCCATAGTGCCTGAGCTGTTTAAAATGTTTAAAAGCTACTGGGCTCCTTTGAGAGCCAAACATGTATAATACAGGCGAGTTGATCATGTATCCTTGTAAATGTCGCACTCCCCCAACCAAGGAGTCATTTTATGAACCGATCCCTTGGTCGGACCTTCTCATCTCATTTAGCGTTGGATCACTTCCAAGTGATGAAGGTGCGGTGGCTGAGGGGATGTCTGAAAGAGCCTATGAGACTCTCAACTGAGGTACACCTATTGGGTGGACTGCAATGACGCGTGGTCCAAGGATTGGGGAATGGTGGCTCGAAAGTTGAGGCAGCCTTTTGATGTTTTCTGGTGTTTAAACGAGTTCAAGATGGTAAGTTACCTCAGATGATCCCTTGGTGTCACCCCTTTCTACCAATTCCTTTTTAACTCACAGCTTATTGGGCTTTCACAGCTTAGCGCCTTGGTGCCCAAACCGTTTGGGGACGCCGATTTCACCGATTTCGCCCCACCGGCACCAAGGTGGGCATCCCGAATTGGGTGCCCTTCTATGTAGGCTTGGCGGGGGCGATGATGGTGAACCCCTTCATTTTGCAGGTCGTCGGCTTCCCAAGGCCGCTGGTGGAATGGAGATGGATGGGCCCAACCATGAGGATGTCAGGATTGAGTTTTAAGGGTTCAAGTCGAACGTTATCATAATAGAAACTCTTTTAGAGAACAAGTTGGCTAAGTCGGAGTCTATGAATCCTTGTCCTTTTCCCACATGAGTCACCTGGCAAACATGCTGATGTCCTTGAACATCAGGGGGCAAGCCCATCATCCGGTGTGTCGGGGCAGACCCATTTGCTAGAGACCTTCCAGTTGAATGCCACTCTTGAGATGTAGAAATCCGATTTCTTGTGGGCAAGAGCGGCAAGAGCCCCAAGCGCACACTTCTTCCACCGCGGGACCCAAGATGTGCACGACCCAAGGAACATAGGAACATGAAACGCCCTGAACCCACCCGCCTCGAGGGTTGAGGCCTGCAAGGGGAGGGGTATGTCAGCTTCAATGAGTATATATATATAATAAACATATATTTATATAACTTTATATACATGTATTATGGATCATTCTCAATCTATGGCATCCACTGGGTGCTGGATGGAATGGATCGGAATGGATCAAGTTCCTGTGTGGGTTCAGGAACTTCCTGCAGCATGGGATCTTTCTGATCATCCAGGCTCTCTTTGCAAATATCGGCCGCTTGGATTCCCAAATCCGGTCGAGCCACGTTTGAGACGGCATTTCGCTTTACTGTTTGAAGTGCTGTGCTTGTGCTTATGTTTATGTTTTGCCAAGTCTCAAGTGGTTCGGGTTGGTCGTTTGGATGTTCTAAGGGTCCCCTCTGCCGGAATGTCCGTTCCCAGCACCCCCACCACATCAGCCTCAGATGACACCAGGAAATTGCGCTCGACAGAGGCCCTTGCTAAGTAGAGAGGCTCGAAGTTGGAATCTTTTCAGACCCTGAAGGGGCGATTCCTTCTTTTCTTCTCCGGGTTTCCTACCCAAGGGCTTAGATCACGGAAGGCAATTTGACGTCTCAGACCATCTCAGACCTACTCGGGCCGCAGCTAGGCTATTGTGGCAAGATCGGCGTGGCGGCGGGCTACTTCAGCATTGCCGTTGGCGTTCTTGACCTGATCGCCAGTGCCTTTCACATTAAGAGTGATCGCATGAAGGACTTGCAGCTCGTGAAGGACCATCCGGACTACTCCACACATGAGGACGATGACGATGATGACGAGTGAGCAAGATTTTGGTCCAGATCCTCATGCTTCTTCGAACCTGTACCATACCTTGCCTGTGGACTGACCGTGGGTCAGCTTTGAGAATGGCAACTTGATGCAATCCATTAGCTATCAGACTAGATTCATAATAAAAAGAAAAAGAGTGGCCGTGCAGCGCTCGGGCGGATGGAAAAATCACTGGAAGAGGATGGCAGAACTTGACCCTTTTGCCTGGGTTCTGTAGGATTTCTGCTTTGCGATTGGCCGCGCGATGCATCTTGTCGTATTCCTCCTGCACGGGGGTTGCAACTTTGCCGGGACGCTCGTGTGTGATGCAAGGAGAGCCCCTTCGGGCAAATCTGGTCCTTGGAGGCTGGGTGTGAAGGGGCCAATATGGAGAAAAAGCCATCGGATCGGCAGTCAAAGCTGTGAAACCGAATGATTGGCTTGTATGTCAGCACCTTGCTTTTAGGTTCCTGACAAGATCCCTTTAGATCCCTTTAGACTCCCAGACCCTTGAGTTATCTTGAGTTTCCCACAAACAAGGGCCCGTTCGGGCGCCTCAGTTTCTTTTTGCTTGCTTTTCAGGACCGCTTGCCGAAGGCCTGTTGAGCAGTTTCAGCTGTGGGCTTGGTTGATAGGGCAGTGGATCATTCAGCCTCAGTTCTGTTGTGCCTCTGGTCATGGACTTGAGATTCATCAAGTGGGGGCTGGGATTGGCTGGGTGTTGCCATGGAATGTCGTGATTCCCGACCGTGGGGGTGCAGCTGACCTCCTACAAGTCAGATTATGTCACATTCGAGTGAAGTCGGTTGAGTGGAGTTCTGCAATATAGCGGCAACGTCCATGTTTACTAGATACGCCACCGGAAATCCATCCAGCTCTTGAAACGGCAGGACTCAATGAGGGGATCTCGCAAAAAGGGATGGAACGTAAACGGGAGATTCAATGCCTTTCTTTCCGAACAGCACGCACATAGCTCAAGAAATACAAGGGAAACGCACACGTCTGGGGGTTTCCCCGAACCGTCCCTTACCGAAGAGCCGCAGGCTTTGCAGCTGGCGACCCGGAGTTTGCATGTGCGCGTGGGCGACCGCACAACGCCACTGGCGTTCCCTTGTGGAGGTCGGGTTGGAAGAAGGGAGTGTGGTGGACTGGGTGGCCTGCGTGGCGCGCGCGCGCGAGCGATCAATTCCATGGTATTCCATCCACATGTGATTTTTTGGGTGCTGGCGAGCAGATCGACTTACGACTGCATGCTGCAGCTTGGAGGCATGCTTTGGGACTTACGTCCGTCAGCTGGTGCGGATGACAGAGCGCATGTATGCGCATGTCCAAATTGAGAGCACCCATCAGAAAAGGAGCCTCCTACGATGGACTCCGCCAGCACCGGGCCTTTCAGGCTCCCAAAGCCTCCTAAATGGGCGAAATGGGTGTGGATTTTAACAGGGAGACGCCCAGCCAATGGGTAGTTTGGTCTGACCGGGAGGTCTCTCTATTTCTTCTCCACACTCACCTGTTGCCGACCAAGTCCCGGCTTTGCGAGAAGGCTTCTGCAAGTCTGGCATCGTGTCGGTCCCCCTTGCTTTTGATTGCTTCGTTCGTTGTGACAGTGTTTGGTTGGTTGGTTGGTTGGTTGTGATGCGTCTTCGGCCGACGTCCCCAAGCATAAGGCAGCACAGCGAGATAGCAACGACATTTCTGGTTGAAGATTGTACGTATGTATGAGAGACTGGTCCTTGGACAGCCCCTGTGTGGAGACTATTGACATTTGCCGCACCAGCAGATGTCCTGGCACAGCAATGCAGGTGGAGGCAGATGTTGAAGATCCTGGACATTGAAGCACTTTCTACAGTTGAAGCACTTTCTACATTTGAACCCGGACGGGTTATGTTTCTACAGACCTTCTTACATAATCTATTGCCCCGAGATCATGCAAAGTCCCATGCGCCCCTAACGAGCGTAAGATAGCCTAAGTCCCGGCCACAAGGAAGCGTATGCCTGCAAGTCGTGTTTCAGGAAAGACCCTTTCCCACACAAGCTGGCTTTGCGAAACCACGGGCTTGGCATTTGGAAGATCCTTTTTTGGTGCGATCGTGTGTCGAAGCATTGTCCTTGGACTCGCGCCAGACGCCAGACACCCATCAACCAGATCGGTTCAGTGGGGCAGAAGCGGCAACGACTGGCAGCGCTGGGTAGGAAAGGAAGGACATGACTCCCAGAAGTGAGCTCACGGCGAACCATGGCCAAGCTGGAATTCCATGACTTCCTTCCCGTGAAAATTGGAAACCATGTTCCCTCCTTCCCAACGAATGAGCACCCCCGGCCATGAAGAATTCATGTGGCACCGCCCGCTGGCACCTCCTGGTGCCCTTCGTTCAGGTGCCTCCGACTCCGAGGACTCGGACGCCTCGAAGGGCGAAGCGAGCACGGAACGACCAAAAGCCACGAGCGGAGCGAAGCGCAGGACCAGGAGCTGAAACGACCAGGACTCGGTCCAACGTCCAACATCCCAGTGGAATCAGTGAACCGGCCTTTGACACCACCCTTTATATATATATATGTCATAGTATGTATGAAGTTCTGTATATATATATATGCATGTACGAGTGACATATGATTTTGGATCCAAAGGCCAGAAACTAACACAACACTTGAAGCTGCGGCTGTAGAGTGACGCCTCGGATTCGCCGATCGTTTTGTTGAATCATTTGGGTATATCATGTACGATCATATATACGTTAATATTTTGGTTCTTAATGATTTAAAAATTAATCTATCATTCTTCAGTTAGGATTCAAGATATGCCATTGACCCACCACCCTTTTCGGGTCTCGGTGTTGTTCGGTCCGAAAAGCTGACCATGTCGGGTCCTCTCGTCGGACCGCGGGGCGGCGTCTTCCCTGCAGCTGTTTGGGATTCTTGTCGACATCCCTTTCGTGCATGGCTGATGTCAGCATGGTTGAGAGAACATGACGCATGGGCGAAGACTAACTAAGTTAGCCGAAGTATTTTTCTCTTGAATCATGAGAGAGCTGGCCAAACTTCAAGATGCGTAGCTGGAGACTAGAGATCTCATCGATGGCAAGGGCACACACACAGAACAACTGAAAAGGTATCTAAGTCGAGCCATGGCTAATCAAGTGTAGTCCATTTTGACTAAATGCAATTTGATGCTATAAGACCACTAGAATCACAGGAGAAAGACCTATCCGACACACCTGAGACCCCTTCCGTGTGGCCATGGCGCGGTCCCAGGGGCGAGTGAAGAGCTTCAACGCGGGCAAGGGCTTCGGATTTATCGAGCCTTGGACTTGACCGCACGGCGGACAGGGCACTGGACAGGGCTGGAGGGGCCTGGAAGTGCAAGACCGGACTTTAATGAAGAACGACGAACTTCTTTGCTTTCAGACCGAACGCTTCTACGCGACGGTTGGTCTGAGGTTTGTCTTCTTCTGCACCTTCTGCGCAAACAGGCCCCTTCCTGAAGGCATAAAGGACAAACCCATCACTCGGAGCTGAGCCTAAAGCTCCTGAGGGTCGGATGGCAAGCCCATGCGTTTTGAGGGTCGCAACCGGTGGGTCGGGGCTGTATCAGGGCGGGTCAGAGCTCTGGAAACTTGACTGCGTTTGCGCGAGTGGTGCGCCCACCTCACCTAAGAGGCAACTCAACCATTTGGCTCTGAAGAAGTCCTTCATCAGTGAAACTAGATCACTGATTGTCATCCTGGATCAACTTGAAGATGCGACCATGCCTCGGGCAATGGTGAACTGCTCCACAAATTTGATCTACTACTAGATCTTGGCGCGACTTTACCCCAAGCAGGCTGTGCATGTTCGGTTTCTTCCAAACAACACTCGCCGTTTCTCCACACCGAGACACCGAGACACGTCCGGCGACCGGGTCTGAGGACATTGGTTCGGGCACCGATGTTTTCCTGCACATCAAAGATTGCCTCTCTGCAGAATGCGTGGGGATGCGTGGGGGCGTTGCGTCCTAAGCAGCTTAGGCTTTTGGTAAGCCCTCATAGGGCAACTGTCCCAGAGCTCTACCAGTAAACTTCTCAGTTTCCACTGTGAGTGTTGCAAGCTGTGGCTCTGTGACTTTGTCGCTGGTGCGTCTCCGAATCTACCGCAATGGCCCCGCATCCTATTGGAGTCATTGTTCAGATGAGTTGATCCAATGAACACAGATGAGAGATTTCAGATGAAATGAACTTGATGGGAACTTCCAACAACCCCGTCGACCTTGGGCAGTGGCACATGTCACATGTTCAATCAGCGCTCTCTCTCAGCTCGTCACGAAATGAATCAGGGCCAGCTCTCTTGTTCTCCATTTCGGTCTATCAAGGGATGTGACACCGCCGAGTAGGCAATGCGATGCCACGATCCCCGACGTGGGAGGGAAAACGTGCCGCATCTTCGGTTTCCTCGCCTCGTCGCGTCAACAGTTGGGTGTCTCATTTGGTGACATGTAGATGGTGCCACAGCTAGACCTATAGATGGTGTCACATGATGTCACTCTAAAGGTCCTCAGGTGTGACCCCTTTTAGACCTTCAGACCTGAGGCACGGACGGGAAGCAGCCGCTGACGGGGGACATCCTGAGCTTCATCCTGGAGCCTAGCGCGTCAAAGCCCGGGCAGATGGCTGCTTGTCACCGCTTTGTCCTAGGAATGGCCACGTGGGAGGGTGGTTTGGGGTGGACATGAGCAACTTGCAAGGGGACTATTGACTATTGTGTCTACCATCAGAGGTTAAGTGACCTTATAGGACCCTACCAGGGTACCTATGGGATAGCCTATAGGCTTCTTCAACCTCTGTTGGTACTATTGTGTTCAATTGTTTCATCTTGCGAATCCGCACCCAGAAGCCCAGGTGGCGAAGAGCGTGGAAGGTGGGACTGGCGCCAAGGAGGGGTTGGCGCACTCAGACGGGGGGAAGGTGGTGTGCGGCGGTGTGCAGACGTGAACGTTGGAGGACTTCTGAAGGCCTTTCGATGGCTTTCCACACCCATTTTGT